CCTCAAGACATGATCTTCCAAACAATACAGTTTCTTTAGTAACCACGTTGAACCATCCAGAAAATAACATTTCAACGCCACATCGGAATGAGAGAGCGCAGATGGATGTATATGGAGCAAGCGGGCAAGTAGCTAAATAAAGACATCCTACAGAACCGTGACATTAATAATTCAAAAGAACACGTGTGGCGCTGCACATTACACAAGTCATCAAGCGCGCTTATTGAATACCAGCACCAGCCACCTCGGCTGCAACTCCGACCTGGGGGATCGGGGCTCTGCCCTGCGGGGGAGATGGGACAGCGTTAACTGCAGCTACCGGTGGAGAAGAATAACCTAGTGGGTTTTTATTTAGTCAAACTGAACGTCTTCCTCAACCTCTTCAGTACTTATTACCTGTTGCTCAAAAATATATATTTTTGTCGTAAAGTATATTGGAGCAAAAGTCAATAGAAATAAAAGTCCTAACAAAATGTAACCATAAATAGATAGCCCATTGAATCAATAAATATAATTTAAGAAGATTTTACAAAAAATTTTTTGATCATTTAAGATGTGTTTAGTCGTCCCTTCGGTATCGGAAAGTAAAACCCATAGAACGACTATTGGACAGCTCGGCGCAGTAAAAAGTCCATAAACGGAACGGAAATTTAGAGGAAACGGTGTAATTGGGGGGCAGCGAGCGGAACGTCCCAGACAAAGCGTAGATCATGGGACATCCAGGCCTGGTACCAGGACATCTAAACATTGTCTTGCGGATGTACATTGTACAGACCTTGTCTCTGACATTGTCTGCGGACACCCACGTCTCGTCCTAGGATATCTAAACATTGTCTTGTGGACATCCAAACCTTCTAAATATTGCCATGTGGACGTTCTAGTCTTACTCAGGATATCTAAATATTGTCTTGTGGACGTTATTGTCTTACTCAGGATATCTAAACATTGTCTTGTAGACATCCAAACCTTCTAAATATTGCCTTGTGGATGCTCTGGGCTTACTCAGGATATCTAAACATTGTCTTGTGGACATCCAAACCTTCTAAATATTGCCTTGTGGACGTTCTGGTCTTAATCATGATAGCTAAACATTGTCTTGTGGACATCCAAACCTTCTAAATATTGCCTTGTGGACGTTCTGGCCTTACTCAGGATATATAAACATTGTCTTGTGGACATCCAAACCTTCTAAATATTGCCTTGTGGACGTTCTGGTCTTAATCATGATATATAAACATTGTCTTGTGGACATCCAAACCTTCTAAATATTGCCTTGTGGACGTTCTGGTCTTAATCATGATATATAAACATTGTCTTGTGGACATCCAAACCTTCTAAATATTGCCTTGTGGACGTTCTGGTCTTAATCATGATAGCTAAACATTGTCTTGTGGACATCCAAACCTTCTAAATATTGCCTTGTGGACGTTCTGGCCTTACTCAGGATATATAAACATTGTCTTGTGGACATCCAAACCTTCTAAATATTGTCTTGTCGACGTTCTGGCCTTACTCAGGATATATAAACATTGTCTTGTGGACATCCAAACCTTCTAAGTATTGCCTTGTCGACGTATTGGTCTTACTAATGTTATCTAAACATTGTCTTGTGGACATCCAAACCTTCTAAATATTGCCTTGTGGACGTTCTGGGCTTACTCAGGATATATAAACATTGTCTTGTGGACATCCAAACCTTCTAAGTATTGCCTTGTGGACGTTCTGGTCTTACTCAGGATATATAAACATTATCTTGTGGACATCCAAACCTTTTAAATATTGCCTTGTGGACGTTCCGGTCTTACTCAGGATATCTAAACTTTGTCTTGTCAAAACTTCGTTGTAGCCATTGTGGACGTCTAGATTGTCTAACGACTCCTGGGGCCTTCTAGATAGTGCCTTGTGGACATTCGGGTCCTACCAGGGATATATAAACATTTTCTTGAGGATTACTTGAAAACATACGTTGTCCATAAGTATTTAAGCCTCATTGATATCAAGACTACGTCCCGGAAAATGTATAAGCATTTTAGCCTGACTATTGTTATATGAATATCCATATTTTCGAGACGAGAGTGAAACGCTTGTCACATAGACGCTGACAGATCGTTCCGAGAGACGTTCTATACACGTTAGGTCTGCTCTCCTAATTGTAAAGCAGTAGGCCGGGCAGAATGATGCATTTGGGAACGAGGGTTAGTTTTGTTATTTAAATAGGCCGAGCTACTCGTTACATATTCGGAGAGGTGTTTCAAGTCTTTCAAAAGTTAATGTATGACAACTGACAGAAAAAACTACCATTATAGAAAACTAACTCCAAAAAAGATATAAGTAGGCACATATTCCATGGTTTTCAAAATAGATTTTTATTTCCAATTGATAAGTAACTGGCAATTTTTTTTTCGTTTGTCTTGGCTTCTAAAGTCAAGAATATTTGAAAACGTATATCAAAACTTAAAATACTAATTCACAACTAGGGCTATAAGTGTATAATGACAATAGGCATACACATTACTAGGAAACCTTACAAAAATATCTTGTAGAAAAATAAATATGCTAAATTTAAAACACGTATGAACTAAAAAACCAGAATGTGATAAGGGAAGGATTACTCAAAGAACAGGATGAGCTCTCAAAGCAGGTTTCCAGCCCCTTGACTTTTCTGTAAAGCAAACCACTTCAAATTGGTAAGCTAATAGAGTTGGAACGGCTTTGGTGCCGATAACGGTATCGCATCGACTGAAACGGATCAAGTTTGGACACACTTTGCCTAACAAGTGTATGCTTCAGTTTCTGCATTCAGTTACAATGTTTTTGAATGCTGTTTTAACAACAATAAGCCATTATAACGTTGGTTTGAAAATGTGTTTAGTTATAACTACTAATTTTCGCCTTATTTATTTTTGTATTGCAGTGTAGGGGGAATGGTTATCTATATCCAAGGCTGCAAACATAATATTTTGTTGCCTTAAGTACTTTTGTACGTAATATTTATTTTTGCAGAAGAGCGTTTCACGTACAAACGTACTGTATGTAAGAAGGACATAAAGACATCTTAAATGAGAAAATAGGTTGAGTCAACACAAAACAAAATTAATCTTCCAAGAAAACTCACACCTGTTCAAACGCAAAAAACATTATTTATAAATGTGAAGCAAAGAAGTAAAAACTTATCTTTTAGTGCTCTATGTAAGTAAAGAAATCCAACGAGTACATTAATTTAGAAATGGCAGATGATCGATCCACAGACCTATAAAACAACGTCACGCCCGAGTACACACCAAAGACGTACAAAGGATCTCGTTAAATCTTCTCAGATCTGATAGTTTCGCTGCAAGGATTTTATTTCACTTTATAAACGAATGCTGCGTCAGTGGTTTGTATTGGCAAGCTGTGTTTGTGTAAAGTGTTTCAATCTGTTTTCATTTATGTCCCATTTCATTTCAATATCCTATAAAGCTTCAGTTCTATAGCGATTTTTATGTGGATTTTGGACAGTGATTAGGTGAGGGGAATTCATATTGTAACGTTTGGAATTACTTTCTAAAAGTAAAAAGGTTTTGTAAGTTTTAGTTTTTATATTGATTTAAAGAGTACCCTAGCCAGTTTTGACTAATGTTTGTTTGCTATTTTTATAGTTTTTGTTATACCTCGTTTTAGGTAACATAAAGGATGTACAAAATAAATTCTGAGGTTACTCAAAATAATTCATATGTTTAAGAAGAAGGGATCTTAACTTCTTTAAACATAAAAATATTAGTATTAATTGTGAGGAATATTAATTTTAATGTAACATAATTATATTACGGTCAATTTCAGTTATAACTGATTTTTTATAATATGCTTTTTCTACATTTTCAATGGATAATCTATATAAATAAAATTAGAGTTTTGTCTGTACATTGCTTAGAATAATGAACTTTTTGGTTATTTTTACATTTCATAGGTCAGAGAAACCGAATCAAACCTTATCTCAATTTCTGTCTGTCTGTCTGTCTGTCTGTCTGTCTGTCTATCTGTCATTCTCTTGGTAACGCTAAAATACGCACTTTATTACAACTACTCCTCAATAACTATAGCACTGTCCCGCCTGAAACTTATTTTCCAAATACTATACATATATGAGATGGTTTTAGACGTATTTCATCGAATATGAGACAGTTAGATATTTAACAGTAAACCCTTGAAAATCAAGTTTTTGTCGATTTTTGACGTGGAATTTCTGGAAGAATGTTGCTTTGTTTACAACTAATCATATGCACATGGTTTTAATTGAAATACAATCTTAATTTTGACATTGGCATACAGCTGTGATTAGAAAACGTTAGCCTATTTGAACTCAAGGTTAACCATAGCCTTATCGATTCACACAACTTAAAAACCATACGAAATGTATACTATATTATATAACTGAACACCAGTTCTGCTAATTATAACAATGGGTTTTGTACATTTCATCCATTACCGTACAAATAATTAAAATAATAATACATTAATTGGTTAGAAGTAAATTTAATTCAAATTACAGATTCAATACAAAGTATTCAATATAAAAGTTAAACATTTTAGATAACAAAATTACGATCAGCTGATTGTTATTCTTTAATATCTGTGCGCTACTAACCAGCAAACAAACTTGACCAGTTTATTATTGTTCATTACTCTTTACACCAAAATAAAAGTTATAATAGTTAATAATGTCCTAAATTATTTCACGTTTATAAATAAAAGGAAATCTACTCTTCTTTTAATTTATTTTTTTTTGAGGTAATGTTTTTAAAAAAGTTCATATTCCCATATGAATTTGCATCAATCAGATGTTTCATACTGTACAGTAGAGATATTCGTTGACATAGTGTCAAACACAAATTAAATTTGTTTACAACTAAACATATGGACAATATTTTTGTTGCTTTAGTTGAGAGGTTACAAGTTAATCTTTAATACATTATTTGTTGAAATATTTTCTATTGTTTCTAAATAAATATGTCCTGAAGAGTATGCCTCGCAAGAGAAAAAGCAATTTGGGTAGAAAAACAAATAATGCCAAGAGACAAAAATTGTGTGTATCCACGGAATCAGTTGATTATGATGATTCGGACTCTGATGATGGTGTACATAGCAATAATGAGTCGACAATTTTAAGTTCCGTTGTGGTTGAAGATTATGCACGACCTTCAACCAGTCGAGAGCGTGTCGCCCTATTTAGGTCTCAGCAGAATGAAAAAGAACGTGAAAGCAGGCGAGACACTGAACGTTTAAGATTTAGCCAAAGAATACAAAATGAGACGGAAGAGGAGCGAGAAGCTCGACGGAACAGGGACCGAATACGGCACGTCCAGAGAAAAGAAAATGAGACAGAAGAGGAGCGAGATGCACGTCGGTGCAGCAACCGAATACAGCAAGTTCAGAAGAGGGGAAACGAGACAGAGGTTGAGCGAGAAGCACGTCGGAACAGTGACCGAATACTACACGTTCGGGGGAGGGAAAACGAAACAGAGGAGGAGCAAGAAGCACGTCGGGAGAGTGACCGAATACTACATGTTCAGAGGAGGGAAAACGAGACAGATGAGAAGCGAGAAGCACGTCGGAACAGTGACCGAATAATACACGTAAGGAAGAGGGAAAATGAAACAGAGGAGGAGCAAGAAGCACGTCGGGAGAGTGACCGAATACTACATGTTCAGAGGAGGGAAAACGAGACAGATGAGAAGCGAGAAGCACGTCGGAACAGTGACCGAATAATACACGTAAGGAAGAGGGAAAATGAAACAGAGGAGGAGCAAGAAGCACGTCGGGAGAGTGACCGAAAACTACATGTTCAGAGGAGGGAAAACGAGACAGATGAGGAGCGAGAAGCACGTCGGAACAGTGACCGAATACGACACGTACGGAAGAGGGAAAACGAAACAGAGGAGGAGCAAGAAGCACGTCGGAACAATGACCGAATATTACACGTCCAGAGAAGGGAAAACGAAACAGAGGAGGAGCAAGAAGCACGTCGGGAGAGTGACCGAATACTACATGTTCAAAGGAGGGAAAACGAGACAGTGGAGGAGGGAGGAGCACGTCGAAACAGTGACCGAATCCTACACGTTCGCAGGAGGGAAAATGAAACAAGAGAAGAGAGAGAAAGTAGGCAAGAACGAGATAGAGTTCGGCAAAACCAACGTAGGAATAATGAAACTCCTGAAGAGCGGGAAGCTAGACATATAATCGACAATGATAGGTACCGTCGCACTGTTGAAGAGCAAACTCTACTTTTGCATGACGAGGCGACCCGAGTGGAGGAACTTCGAGCAAGCCAGGACATTGCTGACAGAAATGCCCGTGTTGCCGCTGATTCTGAAAGACATAGGGTGAACAGAGTCGTTGAGAGCGACGCAGAAAGACAAACTAGGATCGCGCGGGAAAGAACTCGGCATGTCGAAAGAAATTTAACAGAATGGCGAGACACACACAACAGTGGATTCCAATATGATCCTTTTACACGTTACAGTGAAGCTGCCAATATTGGAGATTTTGATAAAGTTTGTAGGTTTTGTCACGCTTTGAGTTGGTCAAAGGAACCACGTGGAATATGTTGTGCTTCTGGTAAAGTGTCCATACCGTCTATTTTGGAAGCACCTGAGCCGCTACGTACATGGATATCGGACGAATCACCTCAATCGCGAAATTTTCTTAGACATATCAGGGCCTACAATAGTGCGTTCCAAATGACTTCTTTTGGAGGTAATGAAATCCGTGAAGGACCATATATGCCTACATTTAAGGTTCAAGGACAAGTGTACCATTTGATCGGCTCTCTTTTGCCACCCCCTGGACTTCCGCCGTCTTACCTTCAGATTTACTTTGTTGGGGATGACCAAGTCCAGCTTCAAAGAAGGCAAAGTTTATTTCAAGACCTTGATCATGACATGTTGGCCGCTTTGCAAAACATGCTTCAGAATAATAACGCCTACTTGCTCAGCTTCAAAACTACTTTAGAAACATTTCCTGTAGATTCACCTGATTTCAAAATTGTTATTAGAGCCGACAGACGCCCTGCAGGGGACCACCCAGGTAGATACAATGAACCAACAGTCAATGAGGTTGCTATTTTGATGATTGGGGATCCAAGTGACCATCGAGACATCATTTTAAATTCAAGAGAACAGGGATTGAAACGAATATATGAAACCCACCGATCTTATGATGCCCTACAATATCCCCTTATGTTTTGTAGAGGCGAAGATGGATATAGTTTCAATTTATATCATGTAAACCCGGTTACTAAACACCCAACCACAAAGAAAACTAGCTCACGAGAGTTTTACGCCTATCGCATTATGGTTAGAGAAGGTGAAGCAAATCACATTCATAAATTCAAACAGCTTTTGAACCAGTACTTGGTGGACATGTACGCTAAAGTTGAGAGTGAAAGGCTGCTGTATCTTCGTACGCACCAAAAGGAACTGAGAGCAGAGAATTACATACACCTTCAAGACGCTTTAAGACGAGACGACAACGTAGAAGAAATGGGGCAAAAGATAATTTTACCTGCCACCTTCACTGGAGGTCCTAGATATATGCATTCTCGCACACAGGACGCCTTTTGCTATGTTCGGAAGTTTGGTCGTCCAGAACTTTTCATAACAATGACAACAAATCCAAAATGGATAGAAATCACGAGTGTAATTGGAGAAAGGCAGTCTGCTCACGACCGGTATGATGTGGTATCACGAGTTTTTCATTTGAAGCTTAACTGTATGATTGCTGTTCTTATGAAAGGCCAGATTTATGGCTCAGTTCGCTGCTACATGTACTCTGTTGAATGGCAGAAACGTGGTCTTCCACACGCTCATATCCTGATTTGGCTTGAAGAATCCATTCCTCCAAATAGAATAGATCAAGTCATTTCTGCAGAGCTTCCAAATCCTGAAACTGATCCTGAACTTGCAGATATAGTCAAGACTCACATGCTGCACGGACCATGCGGAGCTTTTAATGTGCGACAGCGCAAGCTTCCCTGTATGAAGGATGGTCACTGTAGCAAAAGATACCCTAGACCATTTGTCAATGAAACGGCAACAGGAGACAATGGATACCCAACATACAGAAGGCGTTCCCCAGATGATGGAGGCCATCATGTCCTAATCAGAGTAGGTAACGATGAAATCCCTATGGACAACCGATGGGTAGTACCTTACTCGCCTGTATTGTCCCGAACATTTCTAACACATGTTAACGTTGAGTACTGTAGCAGTGTAAAATCTATAAAGTACATCTGCAAGTACATAAACAAGGGCAGTGACCAGGCCACATTTGCAGTAAGTAATGACACAGACGAAATTAAAATGTACCAAAGTGGTCGGTATATATGCACATCTGAGGCGGTATGGAGAATTTTATCATTTCCTATACATGAGAGGTTTCCCGCTGTGTTGCATTTAGAGGTCCACCTTCCAAATGAGCAAAGAGTATATTTCCAGCCAGGCAATGTTCGGGAAAGAATGGACCAAAGTACAACTCTTTTGGCCTTCTTCAATCTCTGCCAGACGGACGCCTTTTCAAGAACCCTCCTCTACAACGAGTTGCCCTATTATTACACATACTCTAAACAAAGAGGTTGGTCCAGGAGGCGGAGAGGACAACCAGTACCAGGACATCCTGACGTGAGACAAGATCCGTGCATCGGTAGGGTGTACACTGTCCATCCAAGCTGCAGTGAGCGTTACCATCTCCGACTCCTCCTACACACTGTTCGAGGTCCAACATCTTTTGAGGATCTCAAGACTGTTGATGGTGTGCTCCATCCAAATTTCCAATCCGCATGCCGTGCCCTTGGTTTACTAGAGGATGATGCGTGCTGGGAGGGCACTCTTGCAGAAGCTGCTGTTTCTGACAGTCCCACCAAGTTGAGGGATCTCTTCAGTGTCTTATTAGTATTTTGCAATGTGAGCAACCCTCTTGAGCTCTGGATCAGATTCAGAGATTCCCTCTCAGAGGACTTTTTGAGATCTGCACATCAAGTCGACATTAACACCACCTTTGAAAACAATCCTATCATATATGACCAGTGCCTAGCAAGCATTCAAGAGACAATCACTCGCATGGGAGGACTTGGGCTCGAAAGCTACAACTTACCAGTACCAGCCATAGATGTCAATCAGTTAAACCATGATTATATCAGAGAGACAAGTTACGACCATCCCGAACTCATTAGGTTTATTGAACAGTGTACGCCAACTCTCAACGAGGAGCAGCGCCAAGTGTATGAGCAAGTTTTGACGAGCATAAATGGACAAAGAAACAAGATGTTTTTTCTTGATGCTCCTGGAGGTACTGGAAAGACCTACCTCATAAAGCTGATTCTCGCAAAGGTTAGATCAAACAGTAAGATTGCTCTTGCTGTGGCCTCTTCTGGCATTGCAGCAACCCTTCTGCCAGGTGGAAGAACTGCCCATTCCATGTTCAAAATCCCAATAAATGTAGAGCATATGGACATCCCGATTTGTTCTATATCGAAGAGCGCTCCCATGGCACGAGTTCTACAAGCAGCCTCCTTAATAGTCTGGGACGAGTGTACGATGTCCAATAAACTGACAATCGAGGCCCTCGACAGAACACTCAAAGATATGAGGAACAGTAATAAGATCATGGGTGGAGTGACGGTATTGTTCTCTGGTGACTTCCGCCAAACTCTGCCAGTTGTAGTGAGAGGCACAAGGGCGGATGAAATTAACGCCTCTATGAAAAGATCTACCCTATGGCCAATAATGAACAAACTGGCGTTAACAAAGAACATGCGGGCCAATATTGGAAATGAGGTGGAAGAATTCTCCAATGTTCTGTTAAAGTTGGGAGATGGAAAGCTGGGTAACGTTGATGGAACTATCAATATACCACCTTCTCTTGGTGTTATTGTTCAAACCCAAGATGAACTCATCGAGAAAGTCTATCCAGGAATTGAAGACCTCCCAAACAAGAGCAGTGCCTGGTTATGCAATAGGGCTATTCTCACTCCAAAAAATGAAGTTTCAACAAAGATAAATAAGAAAGTGATGTCCCTATTCCTAAGCGAGGACAAGACATATTTGTCGGTGAACACAGTTCTAAGAAATGATGACGCAGTGCACTACCCGGCAGAGTTTCTTGACTCGGTGACAGCACCTGGACTACCCGCCCACGAACTTAATCTTAAAATTGGTATTCCCGTTATGCTTCTAAGAAATTTAAACCCTCCTAAATTATGCAATGGGACTCGGCTTCGAATTCGAAGTCTCCAGCGAAATGTCATAGAAGCCGAAATTCTAACAGGCTGTGGTGCGGGAGAAGTGGTGTTTGTCCCCCGGATCCCCCTCATCCCAAGCAACTATCCCTTTGAGTTTAAGCGCCTGCAATTTCCCTTAAATCCATGTTTTTCCATGACGATCAACAAATCGCAAGGTCAGACACTGTCAACAGCAGGGATTGAACTAGGTGACGCGCAATGTTTTTCACACGGACAGCTGTACGTGGCGTGCAGCCGAGTGCGATCGCCAACCAACCTTTACATACATGCCCCAGCGGTCGAACCACTAATATAGTATATGAAGAGGCATTAAGTTAGGCAACCTTTTAATTTTTTGTGTTTTTTGTTTTTCTTCACTATTTAATATTTATTTTCAATGTATGTCATTTGTTGTTTTTGAAATTTTGATATTGTAATTTCGCTGTGACAAATGTTAAGCGCTTCAACTCTGCTATCTTTGCCAACTTTGTTATTTAAAACTTTCGAATATTTTTTAAGATTTAAGTTTTTTAATGTATTTTTATGTACTAAATTATGTTAAAATAAATTAATCATTGTTATTACAAAAAGTTTGTAACCTTATTCTTGAATAAACCCGTACGAAGAACGGGTACTCACAGCTAGTTAACTGAATATTATTTGAATTATTAACTAGTAATATCGCAATACGTGGATTTAATATTAAGTAGGTAGTTATTAGTAAATATATCGTGCTCTTCTAGCAATCATAAGTTTCCCATTTTGATCCTAAGTAGAATAGACTATCCTTTTTGATAGCTATAAAAATAAATCCATCGGGGTTTTATGTGTTTAGCCCAGTGTTTGCTAACTTCGGACAGCAACAAAGCTTTTTATCTAATCAATAAAAAAAATTATTCTTTACTCATCTTCTACTTAAAATTCACACGCTAGTGTTTTCACGTTGTAGAAATCTTATCTGATTTACTTTAACAGTGTGTCGTTCGTTTTTAGTTAGGCGTGGTTAGGTTGATTTAGGTAAAATTAGGTAAGGTTAGGTTACTTAAGGTCCTCAGACTCATTGTTTATTTCCATAACAAAGGTCATTAAAATGACAACTATTTAAGGACCTTCTGAGTTTGCCACTCGTCTGAAGAAATGCACTCTTTACAGAAGACATGCTTTTTATCTTCTCCGATAGACCTAAGTTATCATAAAATGACGATCAAAATTTTCACACCACTGCGGTAGACGAGAGGGCAGACGAGACTGCAGTCTGGGGGTCTCCAGTGACAAATAGAGTGAACCTAATCGTGACCAGACCAAGGTACAGTCCCTTCCAACACCCGCCACTGGTACACCCGTGCAGTGTTCTGCACATGGAGTACAGGGTGCGCCAAAAACTACATACTCCACAGAAGAACGAGGCAGGCACACACTCCGTATTATTATATGTCAAGAATATTACATCAAGAATAAAAATCTGGATTTGCCTATCAGATTGAAAGTTTGCATTAAGTATTGTCAACATCTGATTGCCTAGAAATGTTGGTTCTTGGTTTCACCTGACGGCTATTAAAATGTTTATGCAATCTAATACTGGCCTAGTAATGTGATCTCTTTTCCTACTTGTAAGAATCAGTTTTTTAGTATTATTAGTATTAGTATTAGTATTAGTATTAGTATTAGTATTATTAGTATTATTAGTATTATTAGTAGTATTTTTATTATTTTTATTTGCCTAAATAAACAAACGGTTAAATAACAAACGGGATAGTCAGTGTGCCAAGATAGGGGTAAATGTTACGACACAAGGCTTGTGCATAAAAACATTTGTGTTTTGAATTAACATTATGTGTATTGAAATATTAAAAGAAATTTAAAAATGAATTTGTTTAATAAGTTATCTGAATTTTTAATACATATAGTACTTTAATTTGTACTACGACATTAGTCTTAAATGTCTTAAGAACTTAATCTTAAAAACTATCTTAAGGCTCAACCCTCGTAGAGTAATAATATCTAAAATAATGAATCGGTGGTTTTAAATTTTCCATTGAACAAATACGAATTTTAATCCCTCCAACGATTTGGCCACAATAATTTCTGCATAAACAGACAAATTGCTGGTGATGGCCGACTTAATAAATACAATCAGCATCCCAGAATGAACAGTTTGTTTTGTTTTCAGTTTGTTTTGTTTTCAGTTTGTTTTGGTCTCAGTTTGTTTGCGTCCCATTAAACAGTATTCAGGCAATTACTAACTACGATAACTGTTTGGTGAATGTTTCAAGCCCAGATTTGTCACATTCATTGATGAAGTCACAATTGTTCGAAATAAATTCCTGTACGACTATTCTTTTTTGGTCAAATTTATAGTAAATACCTAGGGCCGAAAATGAGGTTTTGCCGGCTCGAGATAGTTTTTAAGTTCGTGACGAAGTCGAGAACTTAAATCGATCGAGAGCTGCAAAACCATTTCGGTCCGTGGTACGAACGCTATTTTTCACCACACTATACCATATTACCACTATTCACCACTATAATAATGCACACTGATAGTCAACATAACTACAACTATGAGGTTGTGTGAAGAAATAGTTTGAGGACTCATCGAAAATAAAAATAAATAGTTGCTAGGCAACGGTGACAATAACACAATTCTATTGCAATGCTATGGATTTTGATTGTGTATTTAAAATGCATTCATATTTTAAGTAAGTAAGCGGACAGCTGATTTTGTGGCGTGTAAAAACCTGCTCGGTCCCCAAATTACGATGACAGCTAGCGTGGCCAGCAAAACCTAACTTTCAGCCACCAATTAACGTATGTAATGCAGCCAAAAACATCATAGTATGGTGAAAAGGGTTTCCTATCCAAAATGCACGTATTTAAAACCCAAAGTGTATTTAAAGGAGTTGGGGAAAACCTAACGGATTTTGACCTAAATATTTTTTAACCTACAGATCAACGACGATAGCTGATTATTAGAAAAACTCCAAAATAATCATGTGTCCTGTACACAATCATTATCTGATCCTTTGAAAATTCAAAATCAAAATTTTCGACTGTACGAACCCAAACTGTTCCTCACATATCGAACATTCTGCAATATTTCCTGCACTTTTACATCCCATGAATTATGCAACGCCCACTTCAATACATCAGCTCCACTCTTGTTTCTAAAAGAGCCTATTGTTGTTTTCAATTGCAGCAGACGAGAAAACGTTCCCGGCTTTTCTGTTATTACTCGCGGGAGTTTCACAGCACGGTGGGACGTCGACAATCGGTAGTATGTATTCGAATTGTTAGTCAATATTGTCGAGCTGACTATCGTATACAGTGAATTAGAATTGGTCAGTAAAATGTAGTAAAACAGATTGTAGTATGCATTCGGATAGTCAGAATGGTGAAGTCAGTGGTATGCGTTTGTATTGTGAAAGAAAAAGTCGGTAGTTGTCGAACTTAGCGGTCCACATAAAAAGTCTATTAAGTGACATTGTCATTGGCTTTTGGGACCCTAAAATAATGTGTAGTACAGTGTTGTCCTAGGTATAGACCTGTATAACTACGACAGTAAACATTACTTGAGGAAAACTCGCTTAATGCTCTCAAAGGAGGAAAAGATTACTATATTAGGCTACGGTTGTTTAAATATTGTTATTGGTTAACAACCAACAAGAAGTGTTATGGTATAAATAGTGTACTACGGACAATCGATTTGAAAACGTAAGCACGATAAGAATGTTTGCTTGAGAAGGGGTTGCTGAAGGCAAATAAACATGTACAATCATTCTTGATAGTGGTTATATCTAAAAACTACGACGGTGTTCAGCCTTTCATGGAACGGCTTGTAATGTGAGATGCTAAAGTAAGAGTAGTATTTGATGTACGAATCAGGAGGCTGTAAAGATTCTCCTCATTGGGACATGATGGTTTCTACAAGTTTTATGAAAATCATTATGACTCTTTTTCTGTAATCTAAACATCTGGGTAGCTCAGTAGGACTCGCCTAACAGTCAAAAGGTCGCAGGTTCGATCGCGAGAAAAGTGTAGCTTTTTGATGGTTGGAAACTGGACCCAGCTGTCCTTGATCATGGGGTTTTTAATAAATGGCCCCAACTTATGAAACCGCTGATCTTAGTCAGTAGCAAAGCTACACAAGACACCACGCTCCATTCTACTCACCCTTCACTCATATTTGGGTTAAAATAGGCAGCTAGATGGAATCTCTCAAAAATACCTACATTATACTTAACATATCTCCCGCCACCATAGGAAAACACCATTTACCATCCCAGTTGTATCAATATGGTTTCGGTGTCGTCGCAATCCCATCTCTTTCTCCTTGGCTGCGTGCACTTCTGAGACAGACTGTACGTGTAAAGCCCGGGTACAGTCCCGGCCGCGATACAGTTTGCAGTTGACATTAGCGCCTAATGTCCGGGAAGCAAGTCATGGTGGGTCATTGCACGAGCGTCCCCGGACCCACGGACCCACGGACGTCGCGTCGCGTACTTTTCCAAATGCGCAGCATAACAAATGATCCCAAAGTGGGTTTCGTTCCATGACTCGGAGTCGTGAGCTTATTGCGACCACCATTACTCAGACAAGCTCGGCGTTTCTATTCATTTGTCTCTCTATGACAAACGATTCTAACTTTTTATGTTTGATCGAACCGTAAAACTCGGGTTTTATGCAGGAAGGCTTGTTACTTTTGATTTATTTACCGCGATGGCGGGATTATGCCATTCGAATGGTGATTCGTACGAGCGTGGATTGTTGGTTTGAGAAAAGGTGTTAAGACACGTGTAATAGGTTGTTAGATTTATATGCTACAAGCTACACGACAGCTTGGACAAAGATGAATACACGCTTGTGCTGAGTGAGATGATAGGTGCTTTGTTTTTTAATACTTGCCCGATTGTTTGTTATAGGGAAATTAATGTTTGTTTCTTCTGTTCAGTTTAAAATCTTAAAAGCCCGCATTCAATGTAAATATTTCTAATGACAACTTTTGTGGCATGCACACTGTACTTAATATCACAGCTTTGTAGCATGCAAGTGTAAAAATCAATAACATGTACCTCTACACAACGAGGGGTCTAAAAAACTAGGACACAAACAAATCCTAATAAAAAATAAGTAATAAATAAAGTCAATGTTCAAAGGAGACAAAATTTCAACTAAAACAATGAAACAAATATATAACTTAAGAAATCAAATTACACTGACGAAATAAAACACAAAAACCATTACGTCATTCACCTTTGGGTATTCATTTTTGTAATTGGGTTATGTAACTCAATTATGAGTTTGATCTCAAAAACTCATAAA